GGGGGGGGGGAGTTTAAGCACACGTAAAAGCTCATCTTGTAAGTATTCCACATCCCAATGTTCTTCATTACATGTCCTCGTCTCCGAAGGGGACATGGAGCTAATTCCCCGAGTGGCTTCGCACAATCATATCAAGATGGTCAAATGCAGAATGTGGGTGGTCCCAGGGAGCAAACCCAAGGCAAGGGCTCAGACGAATGCTTGTTTCAAGATTACACCCGACTAACTCGAGATATTACAGGCCCGCCGCCAGGATCAACGGCAACCCCTGTCCGACATCATAGCAGGAGATCTACAAGTCTTTCACGTCGGCTCCGTCATCGATTCTCAAGAGAATCCAGACAGTCGGGAGAAAACCGTCCCATGTTTCCGTTCTCACTCAAGCTGAAGCCAGATCCAACTAAAGGAACTGCAGGGCTATCGACGGTTGGGGACATGGGAAGCAGCCTGATGAGCGCACGTGGATACGATAGCGATGCCCAGTGCATAGGGAGTCCTCAGCATGCCGACCATATGAAAGCGTCGCCCAGGTGGCCGGCATTTCGCAGAATGGGGTTGCACGATCTAATAGAGCACAGTCGTGAGCGAAATAACTTGGAGATGTGGGCGGGTGCCAATGGACATGATCAATCCGACCCCCCAGGAACTCCCTTCGCGATGCATTATGTACCCACGCCACCAGGAAGTTTGAGGGAATGCTCAGTTCATCCCAACCCTGCAACCGAAGACACTGGTAGCCAATCCGTGCCGTCATTCAGAATTGAGCGGTTTGGCGAGCAAAATGGGTCCACCAAATCTCTCCCAAGTCCATATGCCAATCAAGAAGAGATAGCTCCAGCAAATCAAGATCGTCTCCGATCTCGAGAGGGCTTTGTAGGAGGCAGCAGCGGGGAGAACCTTCAGAATCTTGTGGCTGGCTGGGCGCAGTACATGGGGTCAGGTATTAATGATTTTCGCGCGGCATCCTCGACCTCGTTAGCCAGGGAAGACCTAGGCATTACAGTTCCCAAAACACGACAACCGACAAGTTCTCCCAGGACACGCTCCGAGGCCCGAGTACCGCATCTTGCTGGTCTAGACCTTTCGCACAGACTGGCGGGGACAAGCATGGGGTCCGGACCGCCATCAGCTAGTCCATCCATGTCGGAACTGCCACGTCCGAATAGATATGGGCCACAAATGGCATCGCAAGAGAACTTTCAGTCGCATGAAAGATCGGTGACATCGATAATTGCAGGTTCCGAGCCCCCGAACCAAGCTATGTCTCATCAACGAGATGCCTCCTCTTTCTATTCGCGCCAAAGCAGTAACCCTTCACGGGGGGCATCTGCCGTTCAATCGCTGAGAGTTCATGCTGCAAATGCAATTGATAGCTTACCTAATATTCATGCACAGATGGCAGCTGAGACTGGCTCCGTTCAGTATGAACGGAAATCAGGTGCCGAGGTTCTGAAAAGCAAGTTCGTTGAGCAGCCTGATGCGGCAAACTGGGAATCACCCCAGGTTCATGGAATTGATAACGGCCTTCACAGCGCTGGACCACATCGTAGAGTCAGTCCCGGCTGGATGACCGGGGGCCGGCGAATGGGCTATGGGTATAGCTTGGTGGAAAATCCCGAGGGCCACCCACCAACAGTTGGAGGGAACAGCGGTCCAATTCCGAACGGGAATTGGCACAGAGACACTCCGGAGTTTGGGTCTGACAGCCGACAGTCGCCCAACAAAAGTCCTACGAATGCCAAGGGGGAACCAGTTTTGACACCAACGATGTGGGCCAAAATGAAGAGCCATTCAGTTGGAGGTAATAGGCACGTACCTCTGGCAGTGGATTTGGCCGGTGAAGGGATGGCTGCAAGTGAAGGTCGCCGTGCAAGCTCAATTCCCGTACAGCACATGGAGTCGCCAACGTCTGCCAAGTCCCCGACTTCTATGAAGTCCCCAACTTCTGCAAAGACATCAACTTCTGCGAGGAGCTTCTATATCGAAGACGTCGACGAGACGTTCCTAAGTCGATGGGCAAAAGCCAGCCGGTCCACTCGTAATCAACCACAACGCGGCGGATACCCAGATTCAACCCATGGGCAAGAAATCTGCACCCCAGATGCTTCACCACTTGGCGAACGCCACTTTTCGATGGCTCAGACAAACCATCCGCCGTCCGTGTACTTCGATCCGTCGAATGACCGGAGTGCTGACAGAACAAATGGAGAGCCTTCCCGGTCTCGTAGTGGACGTTGGATGCTAAGGTTTTCCAAAAACAGGGGAAGCAAAAGGCACTCGAATCACCATCGAAAAGAACCATGCGAGGAAGTGCCAGTACAGTACCGAGAGCGTCCGTCAAGTGACCTGAGGCGTGTAAACTCTACCGGAAGCGACAACATGGCAGAGGAGCTCGCGAGTGCCTATCAAGAGTGCATTGGGATGCCCGGGGCTTTTTATGGAAGCCGGTGGGCGAGCCGTACAAGTCTGGTGGTGGAGGCAGAGTGACGAAGAGGCACAGCGATCATTGCAGGAGTGATGGGGGTATCTTGGTTGAACAAGCATACACATACTGTTATCGAGGAGTGTGGCAATTCCGCTGTTATTTTTACCCGCGGGGATGGAGTTGGTTTGATTATGCGTATGTCTCCCAGTCGACTGTCATTAATCGTACAGAAATATGGGTAATCCATCCCTAATACATCTTACACTTCTCACATGCACACAATAAGAGGTATGGGACTATCACCAGTAGAGCAGCGAACCTTTCATCTCCGCTGTCGCTTGTTGCTCTTTTCACTTGCGCCACTAAGCACACTAGCAGACCGCTTGTGATGACCATCCCCTTGTTGGACACCATTGCCTTGTGTGTTCTGCAGGGTAGCCGAATGACCCAAAAGGTCGGTATCGCCGTCTTCCGTCTCCTTTTTCACGTGAGGATGTTCGGGGTCAGCGCTTGGTCCCGAAGTACCAGCAGCTTCCCGTATCTTGCGCTCCCGCTCCATCTTCGTGGCTTCGAGGACACGAATCTCGCTTTCAACTTTCTCAGACACCTTGCGGGCGTCGAGAAGCATGTTGACGGACTGAATGAGTTTCTCGAAATCCTTGCATACGCGTTCAGTGGGCATGAACAGGCGGACCGGGATCTCAAGCTCGGAAAGAGCATTTGCCAGTTTTTGGGTTTGCACGTTGGACTTGGCCTGCGTAAGTCGCTGTGCACGGTCGCTGCGGAATTGCACGCCTGCCGAGACACGCTCGTGATGCTGGACACCGTACTTTGTTTCCTCCGCCGTGGTGAGCGTGCGTGCCATTTGGTTGGGTTCCTTTGATGTGATAGACCCCTTCTTGTTGGTGGCCTGTGTGACGGGGGTCTCGGCTCGGCCTAGGCCACCAGCGGTGGATGGAGTCTGGCCAGCGGGGCTTGGGATAGCACCATCGCCAAGGATGGAGCGGCGTTTCTTGCTCTTGTCGGCTTGTAAAAGAGTCTGCAGGAGCTGGGAAAGACCCGCGCTGGACTGGTACATTGTGGTGTTGCCGACGCTGATGGGAACCTCGAGACGGGAGTAGAGTTCTCGGCGTTCGGTAATGAAGTTCTGCTCGTTGCTTGTGATGCGCTTCAATTCTTCGAGTAGCATTGCCTCCTCACGGACCTCGTCTGCTGTGCGGTTCAGCTGAAGGGCGGCTAGTTCTTTTCGGTCGCGCTCTCGGTCGGGATCAAACTTGAGCATCTTCTCATGTAGTTCGAACTCGGCCTCGGACATCTCTGACGGTGGGTGCTCTATTGAGAGCATTGTTGCAGCAATCTTATAGTATCGCGCTTTCATCTGCTCCATTGTCCGATGATGCTTTGCAGGCACAATGGCATTCGCATCCGGTTTAGTGTCCATCTGTGGTTGGTAGTCATAACGATCTGCGATGAGCACCCAGCGAATGTCATAATCAGTAACGAGATCCACCAGGTAGTCTGTTTCCTCGCGCGACCAGTCATCACTTGTGAGATGTCGAGTGTATTCATCGTCTGTGTATCGACGAGGCAAACGCGGTTTAACGTTGTACTTGGCGAAGGCATATTCCTGCTCCGGCAGTTTCGGTACGTCATCTTTCTCTTCTTCCTTGGGCTGATCCAAGTTCGTTTGAGACTCTGCGGGAGCGGGTGTAGGGGCGGGAATAGGTGGTCGCGTCGACTCGTGTTTTCTCTGCCAGTGGTTCAAAACCAGGCCGTCGGAACGGGCGTTGTTCGTGAACGGGGCCATGCTCCTATACATGATCCAACGTTAGCACGTATTCGAGGTTTCCAAAAAAAAAAAAACTGCACCACCAACCTACCATGGTCGAACGCGCAGTTTGTTCATCCATTTTGGACGGCCCTTGTATTTGTTCTCATTAATGGCGATTGGTGGCGCCCTTTCGCCCAGTAGCGCGTACAATTCACGAGTAATACCCTCTGCAGCGGGAGACAGTCAGTGATCAACCTCACTCCTGACATAACGCATTACACCTACCTGGTCGCTTCTCGACCACTTTCTGTTTCTTGTGTGGTCTGGGCTGCCCTTCTGCGGGCAAATCTAGCATGTCGCGAACATCGGCCGCGGCCATTCTGGCGGTTCGATCGGGGTAGTGGTCTGCCTGGATACGACACTAAGGAGCAGTTTCTTTGGTCTTAGCGATTAGAAATTTAACAAGCGATGGCGGAAAGATAGGAGCAATTTTAGTTTGATGAAATAAGGACTAGTGAAAGTTGAGCTTGAAGATCACATCGACAGAGGCTTCCCGCTCACAAGGGAGGCATTCCGGAGACGGCAGGCGGTGAGGAGCCCCATGGGTCCCTGATGTTGACACCTTCACGGAGAATAGAACTTGGCCGTGCGACTATCCAATTGCCCAACTCCTCATCATGGTTTTCACTGGGACATCCTCGTCATGGCTGGCGTCAGCTTTGACTCTTCTCTCCTTCTTTTCTCTCTTGTTCCCAACTAATGCCCTGTACTTCTACATGGAGGGCCGGCATACCAAGTGCTTCTTTGAAGACCTACCTAAGGGTACTCTTGTGGCTGGTATGCGCTCACCTCTATAACCTTCATGAAGGAGCTTCCAACTAACAAATGACGTTAATCAATAAATAGGCCGTTTCGAGACGGAAGTTATTAACCCCCAAGCCGGCACCTACACGATCGACCACGCCTTGAAGATGCTCATCACCGTCGACGAGACCTTCGACAATGACCACCGCGTTGTGTCCAAGCGGGAAAGCCACTCTGGTCGCTTCCATTTCTCCGCCGCGGATGGCGGCCAGCACAAAATCTGCTTCACACCTGAGACGGATGCTAGCTCCAGCTGGTTGTCCAATTCCCCTGGCGCCGTCAAGGTCATCGTCGACCTTGCCATTGGTGAGACTAGCCACATTGAGACCGAGGACAAGGACAAAATCAAGAACATTGTGCAGCGGGTCAAGGATCTCAACCACCGTTTACAAGATATCCGTCGTGAGCAGGTGTACCAGCGGGTAAGGATTACCCCGCATCCAATCTATGGATAGGGCCCCTGTGGATAGTTGAAGCGGACATGCTAATGTCTTATTCCAGGAACGTGAATCTGAATTCCGCGACCAGTCTGAGACCACCAACTCGCGAGTCGTGCGCTGGACCCTTATCCAGCTCGCCGTTTTGTCCGCCGCCTGCGCCTGGCAGCTTTCGCACCTGCGGTCGTTCTTTATTAAGCAGAAGTTGACCTAGACGCCGCGTTGTCTCATTTTCTACAGCATATCTTCTTTCTTATACCTTGCATCTTCCTTCCACCTCTGCTGCGGTTACACACGCCTGTTTACTTGAATCTTGATGATTGGTTATTGTATGTGTTGTTGCTATGCGGTTTCTTTTTTTTTCTGGCGAACGACAGATCTTTCTACTCTATTCGGTTGTATTTCGACCTCTCGAGGTCCCTTTGTGAACTTGTCAAGCAAACCGGTCAACGTTTTAGTTAAAAGGGGGGGTGCAGAGTGCTTAGAGCATGGTCAATTGTTGATCTAGGTAATGGATGTAATGATATTGTTTCTTCTTTCCCACGTCTTTCGCCTATCCAAGGGCCGTTCAGGCAGTTGTTTCATTCGAGAAACTTCACATCGAATGATGCTACAGTCAGGGCTGCAGACAAAACTATAGCGGTCGACATCCTAATGGTTAAATAGCTATCACGATCGATAAAATTATTGCCTTAACCAGTTACCACTTGAGCAAGGTCATCTGTGCCACGCTTGTGGTTTATTCTCGGATATCAGACTAAGGTCACCAAAGCCTATCGGAACATATAGGGCCAAGACGTTAGGTCAAAGATATCTCAGTCCTCTAGGGCTTTTCACGGCCTGAGGAATGAAAAGCTTCCGGCGCAGCATGCTCCACATTGAGCTTCACATCTATTGATCTTGCTACATCCCAAAATGCCTCCTTCTCATGGCTCTAGTGATATTTCGACCTTGTCGCTATCTGTTCATCCGCAATGGAGTGTGAGATACAACAAGAAATTGCGGCCAAAGGCTCATCACAGGACGATGACTTACCGAAAGCAACATGATCCTTGATATCAGCCGCTGCATCGTAGGGTTCCCGGTAATACCAGGCTGCATTTTCCAAAGTCTGCCCGTTCACCATCAGATGCCAGTAAGAGGCGTAGCCTTTCCAAGGGCAAAAAGTCGACCGATCGGAGTCTTGCAAACCGAAATCATCAATGATTGCTGAGCGGGGAAACTGTTTATAATGAAGTCAGTGAATGTCAACCTATTCAATCTTGTCAATCTCACATAGATGTTATTCTCCACAGTCTTCCCACTCTCTGTCTCCGCGAGGATGCGGTTCCCCACTTTAGCAAACAGCTCGGGACATGATGTTTTTCGGGATAGGAACGTAAACCTGAGATACGTCTTACAATTCACGTCTGTTCAAAGGTGGAAAATCTCAATCAAAAGCAAATCCAAAGAGAAAAGTGCGGTCTTCCTTTTATTTCTTTTGGGGTAACTCGATAAGAAGGGATGGGGAGACAGTCTCCGTTCACGCCAAGAGCCAAAGCGAATCAACCATCGACCCCATTTGTAACAATGTTGGTTTTTGCCTCTTCTTTCAATCAACGATCTTTCTGTCATCTCTGTCCCCGGGAATCGTTTCAGCATGATGCAACTCTCGAATGTAAGTCTCCTTGTTCTTTGGAAACCTGTTGCCCGTTATTCAACACTTCTCAAGGGGTTACAGATCAGAGCTCTCTCTACCGAGTTCAAGGTAAGGATGTCTTCTGTCAAATAGTGGTAATGGTAATTTGGAATTGTTGGTAAACTTGGTGTTAAGAGGTAGTTGTCTTTTGGGTGATCTACAAATTTCATGGTTATAAACATGGTTGATTTGAAATTGGTTTTATTCACCTAGAAAGGCCTGTTCATAATCGTTATGGCTTGCCTATAAATCATAGTATCTCATACTGACTTGATCTCCAAATTCTCTTCAGATTGTACTTTTCCTTGTGCTCCGCGATGTTGTAGGTACTGCTGGGCAGCGATTGTCCAAGCGACGAATGTGACAACACCACCATAGTCTAGCACAAGACTACCCCCGAATGCATGAGAGAGCAACTCCGTGAGAGACTTTCTGACTTCACCGAGTCGAACTATGCTCTGCTCAGAGAGGCCGACATTGATTTCTACGGGAGGAGCTATCACACCTCCCAATTTGCCCGGCATCGCGACGAACCTGCGCTTGAAACCAGTTTCATGGGAAATGTATTCATCTCACAGAAAACGGATGTCCATGTCCTGGCGAGCCTGAGATGACATGCGAAGAGGCTGTGAGCGATACCTACCGAATCCAATACTTCGGAGATCATCTCAATGCGGTTGGGAGAGCACGCACAGAGGATGGCTCTGATCTCAAAGGCTATTTTGCGTGGTCATTGATGGACAACTTAGGGGTTTACCTTGCTTTGTGTTTCAAGATCTTTGAGCTGATGCTCATTCCAGAATGGTCCGAGAGATACGGGGTTCGCTTCGGCATAACTTTCACCAATTACAACACCCTGGAAAGAGCACCAAAGCAATCTGCTTTGGTGCTGAAAGGCACGTTCGATGAATACATGGGTGGAAATGCTTCGGAATCACAAGAGAGGAGATGGATAGCATCTGACAAGCCTATAGCACACTGAGACTAGACGAACAATCTTCCGTTAGATATCATACAGTCGATCTCGAATTCTACTTCAAACTCCTGCATAATTGCTCTGCCTTCATAAAGATTATAGACAAGACATTCAAGCTCGTATCAATGAATGCGAATGGATGCAATAACTCACTTATCAACCAAGCATCGGGACTACCCCAAAAGCCAAGAAAAAGACAGAGATATTACTCCGAGATTGGATTGGGTCAACCGCGTGCCTGGTCTTGATAACGGGTGGGTAAATTCATGATCCTCTTTCTGGTATCTCATATAACCATCACAATCTAATCTAGCGAACTTATAGGGGCTGTCGATGGTTTCATCCCGGCCCTTGAGAGCACGGGCAATAAGAGCTATCAGGAACTCGCGCAACAATGGCAGGTCTGGATGGACTACACTAAGACTACTGCCGCTAAGGTACAACTACCATGATCCCCTGTTCGATTGATTTTGGATCAGTCCACTAATCTTCTGTCTGTTGACCAGATCTTTTACAAAGGAAATGGCCGGGTTTGCACCGTCATTGATATCAAAGATCAGTCCCTCCCTGTCAATCACCCGTATCAGTCGTATCTATGCGAGACTAAAGATCTACTTGATGACCCTTTCGAAGGCGAGATTTTCATTTCTCAGCTACAATTCGTTGGTGGGTTGTTGAAAGCCAACAAACAGGCGCTGTAGGAAGTGAAGACAGTCCAGTTGGGAAGCGTGGGATACAAATTGGGCGATTTCGGGCCTGACACTGTCCATAAGGGTTTATGGGTGCCAAATTGGAGACGAGAAGACAGTGACTAAATCCCGGAACAGGCTTTTGGCTCTCCAGCCACGAAACCTGGAAAGCACTGCAGATGCCCTACTAGGATATCGACAATGTCCGGTGAGACTCGAAGCAGAAGGTAGAGACAGGTTACCAGGGACTAATATTTTCCCATTCAGTCGCGGATTTGCAACCGCCGTGCGAGTTCGGACCTGCAACTCAGTCACCACGAAAATGCCCGGCATGTTCGCCTCAATCAACAAAATCACTGATCCATCCACCGGCGAAGTAACCGACTACATCTCAAATGCTGGTATCCCCTCTATCTCGAACCAGACCGTCCAGGATCTAGACGTCAATGTGCCGGGTAGTGTATTTCCGACAATCTTGGTCGACAAGTCTGTCGGTCTCGCTTGGTGGAGAAATATGGTTGTTGCCAAGAAGATGCAGCGCAGGTGAGACCTTTGAGATATCCAGGTGGTGCGGTTGGTCTGATGCTAACAGACATAACTCTCCAGATATTTATGGCAGCACTGAATCCACTCGTGTTGATGGAACTGCAGTTTCTGCACTTCTCACTTGGGACAGCAAGGTCACCACGGTAATTGCACTCCTCGGGGGAGCGACCGATTTCGTTCGTCGGAGGATGAAGGCGGACAGTGCATATGATGAGTGTGTGTAAATTCTTCAGGTCAGTTCTTCCAGATGGCCCCTATAGGGAAAGGGAAATTGCCAATTGCTCCCAAATAGGCTGAATACTCTCGTGTCTTCACGCACCTGGAAGGAGAAAACGTCGACTTCGGTCTCCCCCGCAGGAGACTGTTCCGAATGCAGGATTGGTCGACATCACTCTTTGCAACTAGAACAGCCTAGGTCAACATGAATGATAGCCACAGTACTTTCATAGACAAGAATAGTAAAACAAGTGATGATCAAATCTACTGGATTTAAGTGCTGGCATAGCTATAAGGCTGTCGAGAGTGGAAAACACATGGCGGCTAGGACTCGTGATTCAGTTTGTCGCTGTTACAGTGTAGTGTGGGGTGATCGCTTGTGATGTATCATCAATCATTGTTATCCGAAATGGGAATAACGAAGATAGGAGGTGTCAAAAAAAGGATGATGGTATATGGCAGTTCAAAATGAACAGGCCGCCGAGTCAATGCAAATCGTAACCTGAAGAGGCCTCTGGACCAAAGGAAAAAAAGAAGCAATTGAGGGAGTTTTACACGAAAGAAAGATCCGCATGCAGTGGGTATATAACGGTCTTAGCACGGAAATTCAAGAAAGCAACAGTTTTTTCAGACGATGGGCCCTAGTGGTTGCACTAGGACTTAGACAACAGGGTTGCCAGTACCACCGCAGAATTCGAGAATCAACCGTTGAAGGTCAGAAAGCTTGTAAGGTTTCGTCATATAGCCTTTAATGCCCACTCTCGAGGCGCGGTTCAATGCCTCGTCGCTAACATCGGCACTCACAGCAAGAACGGTGGGAGGTTTGGGAGGTGATTGCGAACAAAGTAGACTGGAAATTGACTCTATTTCCATGGTGTCAGGGCTTTGGGGCTTGCGTTGCTCAAAGGCAGCACCTTGGTCCCGATGGTTATCGACCATTTGGAGAATTCGTGAGGTCGCTTCATATCCGTCCATTTCAGGCATCCAAAGATCCATCAAGACAACATCGATCGGTTTGATTTTTGTAGCCAGAGATGGCTCCTTGGTGACGCCTTGCATTGGGTCGGGACTAACGTCAAGGACAGTGGAGAGCTTTGACATAGAGAGACTGTCTTCGAAAATTTGGACGGCTTCTTTGCCATCGGCCGCTTCGAGGACATCGCAGTAGCCAAGTTTGCGTAACATGTTCACCAACACGCGCCGGTTGATTCGATTGTCTTCAGCAACCAGAAAGCGCAGCGGATATTTCTCCCCAAGCTTCTTGTCATATGCATCACCGGAGATGTGAGTTCGATGCAACCGGGTTTGTAATGATGGCCGCTGGAGTTTTGGGCTTTCAGACAGGTTTTCGTCGGTGGTACACGGTGTCGGCTGTTGCAGCTGACAGGTTTGGGGGAGAGTAAATGCGGAGCTAGAGGGAGAGGGGTCAGTGAGAAGACTGCTGACACTGCCCTGTCGTGTTTGGTCAGTGGTAGAGCTAGATGGCGTCGCAACGGTCTCATTGGGGGTGCCAGGGCAGAGTTCAGCTTCACGTTGGTTCACGGGAATTCGAATTCGAAATTCTGTACCACGCGTGGGACCGGAGGTCGACGATCGCACACAAGTCAAGTCGCCACCCATTTTACGTGAAAGACCCTTGGCCACAAGGAGACCAAGACCCAGGCCATCTTTGCTTCTTGTGGTCGATGCATCCTCACGAGCAAATGGCTTGAAAAGATTGGGTAGGAACGCAGCGGGAATTCCCGGGCCGGTATCGCGGACAAGAATAAGAACATCGTTCTTCTTGGGGTCAATGGTTGCGCAAACAGTGATGGTGCCATTGTTGGTAAACTTAATTGCGTTGAGAAAGACGCATGAAATCAGTTTGGCCAGATCACGGTCATCGGCAAGAAGCGTTTCCGGCAATGATGGGTCCACAGACCAGTCCACAACCTTGGTGAACAATTCACCATTCGAGGACCGCGACCGAATCTCAATCTTTTCACCAAACTCGGTTGCATTGCTAACCGCAAAATCCGGTCGACCACCGACATGAAGAGACTCATTGATCACCAAACGGAGAAGATCTCGCAGTTTGGTGAAGCGCAAAGCAGAACCTCTCCGGTTCACATTGATCCCCTCAAGGAGTAAGTGAGGTGCGGATCGTCGTACTGCAAGAGACGGGCGGGGGTCGACCATGTTAGCCATTACAGCTTCGAACTGGCGAGCTGGGGTAGCATGTACGATCTGCTCACTTTCGTGGACAGCATTCTTGACTTCTTCGCTGCGGGGTGAAAGCTCTTGCCGAGACGAAGCCGCACGGAGTCTTTGCTTGCGTGCTGGTCGAGTATTTATCTCTGGTGGTAGGCTCTGTCGCCGTTTGTACGGATTTACAGCGATATTCTTTCCTTCGACAAAGACGCTCGGGCGGGTTTCGGGAATAGTAGGTGGGACTGTGAGACCGCCAAGTATATCGGGCTCCTCCCGGAGTGGTGTTTTGGGTATTTGCATGTTGAGCTCGTATGCATGAACGACGTTGTCAGCCGCTTCAACGGCACGTCTCGCGCTATCTTGAACCATCTCGATCCCCTCCTTGAGAGACTGGAAAATCGCACCCGATTTCACAGGAGTTTTACTTTCCATCGCCTCGCGCACTGTGGCGTGCATAACGTCAAGCATACCCACCACACCCTGCATCGGAGTCCTCAGCTCATGGGATAGGCTTCGGGCGTACGGTTTGAGAGGGTGTGAGTTAAAATCAGCGGCTTGATGGAAGGCGGCAGTCTGGGGGTTGTGAAAATCAGGGGTATTTGTCGTCGGATCATCTAACACTTCATCGAGGATTTGTTTCCCAGGGTCTAGTCGTTGTACAATCAAGTCTTCGAGTGAGTGGAGAATCATCTCCAGGAAGGACCAGGACAGGTTTCGCTGCCTAAGACCATCTCTCGACCACATCAACCCGAGATGTGCCAGGCACTTTCCAGCCGAAAATAAGGGGATGGCCAAATAACCATCGGCGCCGAACGGTAGTTGATCATCGCCGAACGACATGAGTGAGCTGAGATTCTCGGGGATTAAACAAGGCCGTTCGTGGTCCATATGCAGTAAGGGGTTCCCGCCCGCAAAAAACCTGTTTCGCTGCAAACCTACGGTCTGGTAACCATCGTTGTAGTAGAAAGCTGCACCAAAAAGGGACGGGCGCCGCCCGCCTAGTTCGGCCATGGGCTCACTCCCGTGCACCCTCCGGGCAACGAACCCATACTGAGCTTTGGTTATGGATGTCATGTCCACCATAAGCCGTTTCCAGAACAGCTCGGTGTCAGATGCTCGCAACCCCTGTTTAAGTGTGACCAAATGTTCAATGGCAGTGGTCTGCGCACCATCATTCCACGTTCCCAAGTCCCGTGGCACATCTCCGTCGTCACGAACGGCGCTTAGTCGGTCACCGGTCATGCACTCGGATTTGCAGGAGGGGAGCGACATGGTAGAACAAGGCTGGACAGCATGGGAGAAATGCGGCTCGGGCGTGTCGGGCATAGTCCATGTGGCAATCCAAGGTGAAGTCGGTTCGAGAGTTCGTTTTTTTTTCAGGCTGGTTATTTATCCAAGGGCAATGACCATAACTTTGAATTGTATAAACAATAGGTGGACGAATCGAGACGACTTCGACTTACATCCACATATGAATTGTTGGAGAGAGACGGCCCAGAAGGAGGGGAGAGGGGATTTTCCGTTAGTTCGATGGGGACCAGGCGGTCTAGACACACGGCCTGAAACAGGAGTTGTCAAGAGCTCCCAGTTTTCTAATGTAGAGCTACTAATTTTTCTAACGGAAAGAGTTTCAAGTTTCTCTCGAGCTTATATTTCCCTTTGAAGATCGTTCTTCTCGCTCTGATTTTTTCCTCTCGAGTGCTGCGGAGGTGCACGGAGGTTGAGCTGCAGGATCAGCGGGATCTATGCATGATCTCGGATGTAACGAGGACCTGACATTTCCGTGTGTCATGGCAGCACCAAACATGTACCAGGTACCAAGTACCCGATAGCCCTCATTCTGGTCTAGAACACATCTACTACTGTTTTTTTATGTTGTGTGTTATACGTTGTGAATACTCGCTATGGCTCCTTTTTGTTCTTTTTTCAATACTCTCTGAATGATCAACATTCTTCTTTACACATATAACCACATTAACTCCTTCTTTTGGTCGATATCAATCTAGCAGGCATAATGAGCTCAGTAAGTCTTCCGTCCCAACCTACCGAGCAAAGCAACACAATTACATATTGAAGCATCTACTTCTCAAAATTTCACTTGGATCGAGAATTCGTGTTTTCTCAACTTGAAAGAGACTTTAGTGAACCTCATTCCAGTGGCACTTTTGTATGGACGTCGCACTTAGGACGTTCACAAATCCGGGCTACAGGCATTTGCGGTTTATCCCGGTACTATACTACCTCTCTGAGATTTTAGACTCATTTGTCAGGTGTAGCTTGATGCATGAGGGACAGTATCCTAATACCCTAAAACCGACATAGAAGTTAGAGGAATGATTTCGGTTTCCGACCGGATGTTTTGGTTGCCCATATGGAAGCCAACCTCGGCCGAACTTATCTCTTGAGGAAGGCAAACTCGTCCTCTGCCAAAAAATCCTGATAGTATCCGTAAAAAAGATATGTAGCTGATGGCAAGGTGAGCTTAAGACTTAATGTCGAGCAGTTGAAATCTCTGGACCACTAGTTGTAGAGTCAGGTCCCACATGGACGCCTTTGAGTGCTCTATTTCCGGAGGTAAATTCGGCACGGAAGGCTCTAGGTTCTTTTTTTCCCCTGAAGATAGGCTCAGCATAGAAGACTTCAGGTGCTCTGTTGCTGAAGATAGGTCTGCCATAAAAGTTGTAGGCGCTCTGTTTTTAGCTCTAGGGACTGGAGGTTGTTTCTCGCTGATAACATCGCCGGATCCTATTTAGGTCATCTCATGTCGTCGAACACCCACATACCACCTATCAATAGACGTATTAAATGCTAAATTTTACTTCCCAACTGGTTATTGAATATACATCGATATGAAATTGAGCACCTGGAAGTCATGTCTTTTTCCAAGCGCTAACGGTTCATCTACAAAATTCTCATGAAGATGGGTATTCATCAAAAATTGAATACATACAGGAATACTTGGTCACATATGCGGCCTTATCGTGTCTTTTTGAATGTTTAGGTCTTCTGTCTCCTTTCTCGATTTAGTTGGTGGACATGACTTTCCTATACTTGAAACCTTTGAAATACTCTCAGACCACTTTCGCCAACGTTAGGACTGTGAAACCAAGGCAACAATTCAGAACCGATTCCGTGGCTTTTTTTTTAGGTGTATTTAGCCCCTCGAATTTTCTACATCGGTGTCACGGTCACGCCTGCTAATTCGTTGTTATTTTATCGGGGCCTGGCAGCTTCCTCGAAACCACCCTGCTCATCCCACGTCTCGCTGACAACGGGGATAGCTCAGTATCGTCGTGCAGCGTCAAGACGACACGTTGAGTACTATGCATCAGCAATGGTCAAATGCATCCTGGCAACAAAGTAAGAGAAGATTCGGGCTGGCACAGTATGCCGAAGCTCTGCACCAAGTGATGATTGCACTAGGCTACGAATATGACAAGCACTATCTGGGTCTACTCAAAGAGACCAACGAATGCCAGCGTAGTGATTCAAGAAGGCGAATCGGGCAGCATAATCGCCCGTACCATGTCTCATTACTACCTTCAACACACCAAAGCCATCCACTTAAACCTAATGCCTGTCATGCCGCGGCACCCATGGCGAAGCCCCAATCAGTTCCTCAATCCCCTTCTATCCGTGTTATCTTGGCGAAAGATCGTGGTAACATCGCCCGGACATGGGCATATGGAACCCGTGGCAACGCATACATACAACAGCAAAAACCTCGACCCCAGCCTCTAGGCTATGGGCGTCACAATAGTCCCGTCGGGTCATTAGCTTGGATGTATAGACAGATTGCACACTTGGTCCAACAACTGCCCGTGGACAGAGGAGGAGATACTCACCTGGTTTGGCGTGTACTACTTCTCCACAGCTGGACTAATAGCGTCAACGAGGGTATACTATGAGCATGACAACGGGGGCCTTTTATTATCGTGATAGGAGTAAGAGAAACATGGAGTCAAAGAACACAATTGCCCTCCGACTCAGGTATCAACCGCTCTCGCGTTGCTCTTGTGCTATCCCGTCATTGATTGACAGTACAGGGCACATACCATCCAACGAAAACCGGGATTTGCCCTCAAACCAACGGAAAGCCTAAAACAGCCACTTCCCCCAATCTAATCCTGTCGTCCCTTCAATAACCGTTGGGTAACCTTGTCCTTCTCTATAATGTAAACCTGGGCACCCCAACCGGAGAGAGCATCTCGGTCGACGGCGCTAAGCAACGCTTGTGAGATAGTCTCGAAGAGGTCCTCGGGGGCCTATGATGACAAAGCGTATTAGACAAGGTGTCGAGCAGGAAGTATGATAACACCAATGATACATACCAGATCAGGCTCCCACAGACCCTCGCAAGTACCGAAGAGCTGGTCGCTTGCTGTTCCGCTGACAATGAAGTCCTTGGCGAAATCGATACAGCCAATGCTGTCAAAGCCGCAGATAAACGGCTTCCCTGTTGTAGGGTTGATACCAGCCAGCACAGGGCTGACGAAGTAAGGACCGAAGCGCTTCTCATACAGCGATGAGCTCACTAGGTTAGCGAGGGTCTGCGGTGCAATGTCGCGCTCCTCGCGCAGCCGGTACATGTTGACCTTGTAACGAAAGAGATCGGACACGGTATTGACATCAGTGGCGAGGCCAGTCAGGCCGAGATAGGTGGATGGAGCGTAGTTGAAGATCTTAGGGAAGTTGTTGGAGATGGTCAGGGCCTGCATGCCCAGGCGAAGGTCACAGGCGATGGCGACGCAGTCCTTGCCCACCATAGCGACACAGGCACCGCCATCTGCAGAACAATTAGTATTTTGTTTAATTATTCACGAGGGACGAGGTTCCGGCATACTGATGTCGAAGGGGTTGGACTATGATGGGAGAAGTCGGTCAGCTTTTGAGGTCCAGAGATTCGTTGATGATAGGGAAAAAGTGCCCATTTTTCTTACCATAATTGCAGTGCTTCAATGCAATTCAATATAAAAGAGAAATTTCAGAGCTAAAGCACAAGAAAACAGAATAGAAAATGTGGTTGAGAAGGGGGCAGGTTGGGGGAGGTGATGGAGGTGAGTTGATGACGGGGAGGAAGCTCTGAGGTACGCGAGAGCTCAGATGACGCCCGCACCGCTGCCTGTTTCGCATGCAACCTTCGACTGCTTTCCGCGCCCTCTTTCTCCCCGCATTCGAATCTCACCCAATTTTTTCTTGACTTGCCCATTTTTCATACCTTTAATGAGATATTGAACCTTCTCTATCTTTCTGTCGGAGCTAGCGTTCTTCATACACAATGAGTGCCCACGTTGTGGTGATCGACGCGACAGCCAGGCGGGCAACAATCAAGACGACTCCCACCAAACACTTGGCCGATATCCTACAAGAAGCATGTTCAAAACTTGGATATAATGCTAGCCAGTACTCATTAAAGTGAGTAAGTGTACCTGTTCTCCGCTAACAACACTGACCTGGACTTTTCTATGCACCAGACACAATCGCAAGCAGTTAGACCTTTCTCTTTCCTACCGTTTGTCTGGTCTCATTTCTGGGGCAAAGCTTGAACTTGTTCAACTCTCTCGCTCTCCGTCAGTTGTAACCGTCGGCCTACAACTGCCCGAATCTGAGGCTCGTGAAGCCCCAAATGGCCGCATCCTTGACAAGTTCCCTAGTACGACAACACTATGGATGGTACTACGCAAGTTCGAGGCAGGTGTTGCAGGGAGTAGCACAGTACGAAATCTCACTTCACGGGCGGTGTCCTCCGCCGATGGTGGAGATGTCGCCGGACGACTATACTATGAGATTCCCGTCCTTCAGATTTTGGAGCGTGAAGTATCGAGCTTCACGGATCTACAAAAAACACTAGCGCAGCTAGGTTTCAACAGTGGCAATGTTCTTATTCGACTCAGTTTCCGACGGACCGAGGAGCCTATCGAAGAAGCAATGCTCAAGATTGGCGAGTTCTTCAAGTCTTCTGAGGATGAGGTTCCTTCGGCACAGGATAAGAACGCAGTTCAAAGAGCAGCTCCCGCTGACAGCATAAGCAAGGAGCCTGCACAAGAGCTCTCCAGTGTCACGGCCGCATCGGACGAAGTTGCCTCATCCCCATCTATCTCCGGACCGGCCACCTCCACAGCCGACTCTGGCCGAACAATTACTGTCTTCTCCCCTCCCTCGGAAGACATCCCTTCGTCGGCAAAATTAGACTACAATGAGAGTGATTACATACCTTCTATTGAGCACGCAAAACTGCACCAGCGGTTGCTCAACGAGTCCTCTCGCCCAAAGCGCTTGCCAACAGACGCCGAGATCGCCGCCAAGGCAGAGGCAGAAGCGGCAAGGCGAGCAGCAATTCACGAGGTAAATGTGAAGATCCGTTTCCCAGATCAGAGCCAAGTGGTCGCCAGTTTTGGGACCTCAGACACAGGACAGTCCTTGTATGAATTCGCACGAGGGTGTCTTACTCCACCGTTCGCCAGTGAGAGCTTCACTCTCACTGTCCACGGTGTATCCCGATCCAAGCATACAAACGTCATACCTCCATCAGACAAGAAGCATCTGATCAAAGATCTAGAACTGGCTGGCCGTGTGCTCGTCAACTTCTCTTGGGCTGATAACGCTGCCTCTTTTGTTCATGAACGCCGGTCGGAGATTCTACGCTCCGAGCTTCGGAGCCAGGCTCAAGAGCTCAAGGTGGAGCAGCCGCCAGAGCTCAAGGAAGATGTTCCTGCTCCCTCGCAGCCGGGTCCAAGTAGCGCTCAGGTCGGTAATAAGCCTAGCGGGACACGGAAGAGTGGTGGCATTCCGAAATGGCTGAAGCTGCCGGGTAAGAAATGAAACCGAAATGATGAAATTTATTTGGTTCAGGTGAGCGACATGTGCTGCTCTTGATGATCATGACTTGACTATTTGGCGTATCATGTGAAGATGCATCAATATCTTAGACGTGCGTTTAGACTTAAAATACATGTTTTTTAAATTTCATATAAATAGCTTCAATACGCATGATGGATCAAGTCAAACATCACTCTGCATACTTCGACAATCATGCGCATTTCCATCTACGTTGTAAACCTTCATTTGGAAAGTGGCTCAATTGCAAATATCAAACGTGAAATGGTTGAATATTGTTTTCATTATGGTTTCACTCCATACGACAGAGAAGGAATCCCATATTTGCCTTCCCCTTCATGCACGCCCAATTGCCACGAAACCCCCTTTCCGATCCGAGAATCACGCTTTTTTTGCGTCGAGTCGTTAAAACGAAAGAAAAACAGGAATTTAGTGAGCACCGGTGCGGCGAGACTCAGCAATAACCTTCTGCATGGACTCAACCTTGGCCTTGCCGCGGCCGAAAGTACCGAGCTGGACATGAAGTTAGCAAAAATTTCAACGCATGGATCAACTGGGTGGGCTCCGATCCTAATGGATATCGCGTGATTTGGGCCAAGAATCCCAATCCTTGAGAACAGAATAGTAGTTGCACAGGCTTGTCCAAGCACAGACCAAGTAGATATTGAAATCAACCTAGTTCTGCACGATAGACATGCATGCATGCAGTACCATTCTGATACACCAAGATCTTGACCCTATCGATCCAAATCCAAGTAATCCAAGTAACAGAGCCACCCAGACGAAAATGAAAAAAAGGTTGAGATTAAAACGTACGCGCTTCTTAGCGAGCTTGCGGGCACGCTTGTCCTGGGCGTTGCGCAGCAACTCAATGATGCGGCGCTCGTAGGGAGCGAGACCAACGACCTCCTGGGCGATTTCGCGGACGAAAGCGGTGCGGCGAGAAGACTTGCCCTTGGTGCGCGAGATGCGGGTCTTGGGGGTGTTGAGGGCGGTGGTTTTCTACATCAGAACCCAGTCAGTACGTCTGCTTCGGCAAGTCCCATGTAACGGCCGCAGGTCCCGGTGTTCTCTTCTATCCGAGTTTCGTGTCTGTCTGTCTGTCTGTCTGTCTGGGTAGTTCATAGCGTGATCTGAACAGGGCTGCGTTGAAGGAGAGTGCTAGCTTCGGTGCCAAAGTCGAATCCAAAAAAAGCGTTCCGTGATGTCGAAATTTTCCCCAGCAGGTCTCGGATTTTTCCAATGGGCGATTCGATTGCATTCCTCCTAGTCGTGATGTTTCCCAGTGTTTTCGCGATAAACCTTGACCCAACTGGTTTTGAGGAGACCAACAGACCGAACGAAAAGAAAGAAGAGACCCTGGGAGACCTTCAAACGACCGAAAAACATGGTGTAAAGAGACAGTAAGAACGTACCCGGCCCGCGTTGAGTCCGACCACAATTCCGGAGCGTTCGGCCATCTCGACGGTTGTTGACTGAAGGGGTTGGCGGAGGTTGTCGAAGAGGAGGTGAGGGAGCCGTGTGAAAATCGCCTGGTCTTTTGCCTGGAACCGCAAAATGGAGCCTTGGCGTTGGTGCGGTAGGCGAGTGACTAGGGCTAGGGCTGAATTAATCAGGACTAGCGTAAATTGCTGACACCTCAGGCACTGAGCCCAATTTGTCTTGGCCTACACACGTGATTATTTTTATAGATCGACCTCTTACTGCCTGGACTGTATCTGACTTGTCAACATCAACTCTGTCATGGAATTGTTTTACATATACTACAACTATGTATTTTCATGGACACATGATTCGTTCCTTGCAGTTCTGGAGTTCAGCGTTAAAGTCTGGCACTCAGCACCCCATCAAGTGCCTCCTCCCAGCTCTCCCTCAGCTCTCCGCAGAACAATTCGAGTGCAGATTCATCCATCACCTTCTCCAAAATATCTTGAAGCGGCTTATCGTATTCATCAGTTGTATTGCCACGCTTCACCATGTCAATGAGTGTACTGAGAGTAGCTGATTCGGTAAGGCTCTGTTTCAAACTTCGAGTATTCGAACGAACATCCTCGAAAACTTCACGAACAAGAGTATTCAGTCGCTTCAATTTTTCGGCAGGGAGTTTGGCAGTCTTTGTGGCCTTTCGAGAATTTAGGTCGAAAATTTTCCACAAAGCCTTGAGGGTCTCCACGAGGGTCCAGATGGCATGGAAATATTCCCATGTCGGTGCACCTGGGGTACCTGGGGTGAACTCAATGGTCGTTCTCATGATAAGGGAAGATTTCACAGTGTCTTCAAGAGCTAGATCCTCTCTCTTGGTCTTCAACCAATCCTCTACCTCGCTAAGAGCAGTCTCAATTTCGGTAGAAGTATGGGCCTTGGATCCAGCCATGAACATAGCTACTTTCAGCAACTCTATGTGAATCTTAGTTGCATCCCTTTCGGCGTCAGTGTGATCATCTCCAGTCTGGGAGAGCGACAACTTGTCGATTTGGGGCAGGTCTAGCTTCAAGACGACTGGCCTCTGACTGCTAATGCTATCAAGAACACTGAAAAGTCTGTCAGTGAGCCGGGCGGATGCCAGCCAGGTTTCCTGTTTTTAATTTGATATTAGTCGGCGTCACGGTATCGTTCAAACAAACAAACTTACACCAGGAATCGGGCCTGCGCGTAATCGGTTCTCAAATGGAGATTGGTCACAACGTTCCAGATTCATGAAAGCATCGTACTTCCGCTGGTCTTGAGCTGGTGATGTATCCTGGGCTATAAGGTAATTAGTATTCACGTAGACCAGGAGCTTATGAGAGAGACTGAGAATTGCTCACCGATGTCCTCATAGAGGGCCATGTGGTTTCCCTTGCGGATTCTTTGCATCCGCCGTAAGTCCAAGGCCCACATTCTCCGGCAGACACTGTCTCTGATGCGTTTTTGAAGCTCGATTGAGTCGTCTAGATTGACATAAGTCCCATCGTCGAGTCCTTTTATCAAAGAGTTCTTGATAGTGAAGCTTGCATTACGATAAAAGTCGAGAGCGGCGATAAATGCAACTTGCGCGTCAAAGTCCTTGTACTCTCCACCCTCAATAGGAGGCGCGGGATGAGGGTGGACGGTAGCAAAGCGAGTGAAAAGGTTATGAGCGACACTTTCATACTGCATTTGCTTGACGGACAGCTTGCCAAACCACCTCAAAGCAATGGAGCCAGCGCCGAGAAGTAGATAAATGCGGATCAGCATAAGTATTGCCTCGTAGTTATGAGGTGAATCGATTAGAAGGCGCTCCAAAATTCCAGCGGCACGAATCAGAGCAGTGTTGGTGACTTTTTCAGATGACTGGTCAGCTGGGCTGGGCTGAAGAAGGGCCATTGCGGCAATGATGCAGAAGTCATCCGTGGGCCGACTTTCCATTGCAGAAGCACTATCTGGTTGGCTTTCTTTCTTTGAGTCTTGGGTCTTTGCTAAAAGCGTAAATGCATCGTAAAAATAAAGGCAATTGCGGACAAGAGTCTCAATGATAGGTTTGGATGCGTTTTTGTTGCCTGAAATCCGGTCACAGTACTGCAGTTTGTACGCATTGATCAATGGAATGGCATCGTCCTTGGGAAGTTGGTTAGCTCGCATTGACTGAGTTTAGCAGAAGTTGCACTTACGGGTTTTCCTTCGACACTATCCATGCAAAGTTGAGATACTCGGTGAATCAAAGTAGCATCGCGGGTCTCCAAGACCCCTCGTAAGTCTTTAAAAGCGTAGAGCTTGTGCTTGTGTTGGTCGAAGTATCTTTGGCACGCAACAACCAAATCATCCTCCGTCCGCTCGCCCCGTTTAAACCCGGTTAGGATTATGTCCATGAGAGCGATATGCGCATTGCGGGACTTTGGGCTGAATTCGATGAACTTTTCGATATGCTGCTGGGTGTCGGAAAGCAGCCTACGAAGCAGGCAATCATTTTGTTAGCTGGGGGTTTTAAAATGTAGAGGGAAAACATTGAAATACATACTCCGGACTTTTATCGAGACGACGCACGGCTACGATGAGCAAGTTCCAGTATTTCCAATCATCGCGCTCATGCAGAGTGCTGCGTTCTGCTTCGTCTTCAGACACGGCAAGCAAGCTTTTGGCGTATGAGTGCCCTTCTTCCCAGAGACCTGCAGCCCCCAAGCTAGTGACTTTGGCTAACCTGAAAGTCCTGTCGTTGTTAACAATCCGAGAGCTGAGACCAGCATTCTCGCTATTGAGTATCTGCACAACCTCTGCCCAGCGATCCTGCGATTCGAGAATTCGAACAACCAAGAAAAGCTCCTCGGCGGTTTGTATTGCTCTCGGGGGGCTTGGCAATTCAGTCTGTAGTAAGCCATGAATCATGTCCAATCAGTTATTTATGCCCAAATCTTATTTTTCAATCTTCACTTCCAGCATATAGACCCTGGGGAAAAGGCACATACCGGGTTCAGGGGGACCTCTGCTACTGCCTTCTGAGCAAGGCGATAGGCAAGTGTCCCAAACAACTTGCGGTCCATGTCCGAACTAGCCGCGTCATCTGAAACGAGATGACAGAGGAAAATGGCCCAGAAATAGTATTTTCGCTCCCGAGGAAAGTTCTTTTGAAGACTCATGGCAGCCTGTTATAAGAATGAAGGCACTCGTTAGCAACTTGGACATTGTTACGATGCCGGTGTAGCGTGGGCTTCTTCCTCACTCACTTTCTGGGCGGACTTCCAGTCACCAGCATCATATCCGAACTTGAACCACCTCATCTGAAGAGCGTGATCTTGTGGTTTTGCCTTAGCTGCTCGCTCCCATATGGCACTCCGAAGCTCAGTATGGTCATCCATCTTCTGCAGCGTGCGGTGGAGTGTGTCGAGAGAGTCTAAGTCCGAGATTGGTGGATCGGCGTTGCACAGCTCGATAGTCTCCGCAATTCCTTTCTTTTTATGAGTTTCATCGGCGTGATTGAAGAGGACATTCGCTTTCCAGGCCTGTTTTCTTGCGGTCTCGTGTGTTAGTTGGTCCATTACTAGTGACAGCGTCGCGGCAATAGTAGATCTCAGAGTGTACAATAGTATTGATAACTTGCCTTCAGAAAATGAGTATTCTCGCCTTTCTTCATGCGCTTCTCAATCAGCTGTAAGGCCTGCTTCATGTTCTGGGAGTCAATGGCATCTTGGATTTGGTTGTTGCGACGCAGAAACACCGCGTCATTGCTGGAGCTCATCGTGGAGGCGTTGTTCAATTTTCGGGGGAATTCTTCAATTGGCGTCTATCCCAAGATGTTCTAATCACTGTGCAAAGCACAGCATGGGCTAAAAATGGACACTGATCTAAGTTGGAGTCCAGTGATCGACTTCGGTCGCTTTTTATTTGGCGGGGAAGGAGACCAAAGGGTAGGCGGTCAGTTTGTCCCCGCATCATACTGCCGGCAAGAAACCAACATTTTGAAGCATGCCTTGTATGCATCGATGATCTATGTTGTTCAAAAATAGAAATGACATGGATAACCGGTTTAAAAAAACTGAGCGCAGTGTTTTAATCCGAGCTTAGTGACTCTATATATAGTTTGATTCATGGGTATTAATTAGGATACAAAGTCACACTTGAAAACAATGAAAAGCCCAGATCAAAATCTTGACGGAGACTCCGAGGCTACTTCCAACCTTAAGTGGTTCCAACGCATTCCTATTTCAAGTCTTTATTTAGTTTAGTTTCCGGTGTGTCCGACGGTTGTGTTTAACTGAAGATTAATACAAGAAGCTCTACGCATGCCTGGAAAAGATAGATAAACCCCAAGTTTATGAAGATGTTAATGTACAGGCTTAAAATTATTCAAAAAAAAATGGTGCGATACGCCAATAAGAGTCGGGCCGCAGATAATCAACCGCCAAAGGATAATTCCGCTTATCTCGTAAGTCCGCACCGGGCCATGAAAGGTTTCGACTTTCCAAAAATGGTATTTTTAACCAGCCTCGCAAGATCGCGATGCCCGACAGCAGTTCGAATGCCAATTATAGAGCGGTCCATGTTAAAGAAGCTGGAATTTGGCTATGGGTGTCGGATTGTGGGGAATCAGATTGTTGAATTGACAATAGAGCACACCTTCCGCATGGACATGCAAAACCGCTTTGGGAATGTTAAGGGATCTTGCCAGCTAGGAATTTGTTCGCCTTTTTCGGTAAGAATGATCCGGAAAGATAGAGATGTCTCATTTTGGCTGAGGCGTCAAAGAAGCTTTCTTCTGGGTGAGCTGTACCTTGTTAGCGACCGAATATGCCCCGACGGGTCTCGACAGCCAAGGTCAATTGGAATGGGTCTCCCAGATAGAACAAAAAACCCCTGCATAAGACAGGATATCGAGGTAGTAACGACAAGGCTTTGTATTCGACTCACCCAGTTCTTTTTGCAATCACGATACGCTCTAGACAGGGGAATCGGTCAGCAAGAGAGCTCAGGCAGATGATCAACATGACAGTGTTGTGCGAGCTGGCCAGAAGCGCATCGAAAGCCAGGTACGTCACACGGAGGACACGTCAAAGCACTGATGAAACCACATGAAGTTCTGACGTACTGGAAATAATCGTGGCACATTTCGCGCTCGAAGGCATTCCGTTTCATGCACTTGATACTCCGATCCGCAAAGTCTTGGCATGGGTCGTAGTACTCGCTAGCATGTTTACTGAAATCAAGTTAGCTATCAGTGTAAATAACCGCCACGAGCAATTTAGAACAATGACTATGCAACCATCGAACTAGCATGTGTTGCTATGCGTGACTCTCAAGACCCCGTAGTCTATCTAAAATTATCCCGTAGACCGCGCCCACAATCATAGATGACTTCAAAGACATGAAATTACATTTTGGAAATGGATAAAAACAAAATGAGGTGGAGGAAAGAAACATTGGAACATACTGTGTGAACTTCTTCTCCGCTTTCTCCCACGCTTTGTCGTGAGTGTCTCCTTGGGTTGACTCGGCCGCCATGGTTGCAGTGAGGTTGTTTCCTCCTCTATTTGCACGAGATAACAAAATAGACTTAATCCACTAAAATAGAATGCCAAAGAATTCGTTGAAAATCAGATTGGAGGTGGAGGTTGATTGGAGCAGAAGTTAGCGTTGGACACAGGAAAGAATTGGGGATCCGCAGTCTTGGCGCGAAGATCCGCTCAAACTCCAACTAAAGTCCCGAGATCCGCATAACCCCCGGTCTTTATCTAGATTCATGTAATTTGAGAAGGAAGCATCTACATTTGGATGAAGTTTAGTTATGTCTGGGTTGAATAATTAAACTTGATGAGTGAAGGTTCCATTTCATAGTGCAGCTTTCTAATTTGCATCAATTTCAGTATATATATTTCGTGAGCAGTGTTCACAATCTAGATGGACGTTTTGAAAAACAAATACATCGAACTCCCCAAAACAGAAAAGCTGATTAATTATGACTAGATACTAGTAAGATAAAACACATTGCCGCAGTGCTTTACGATATATCTTATTTACTCCGACACATGTCACCGAAAGAGAAGTTGATGGACAGTTCATCGCGGGACTCTTAAGAGAGGCGATACTTCCATACTTCACAGAAATTTGTAAACACTGGAAGAGATAACTCGAGCGAGAAGATAGACCTGACGTGAGATTAGAGCATCGAATCGGACGTCCAAAGGGGATTGGCATAGGGATCCCCCCCTTCAATCTTTGGATTGGAAGCTGGATCCGAAGTTAGATTATCAAGGCCTTAGGAGGCTATATTGATAGTTTTGACGATGAGTTTGATAGTTCTGTACGTTTGTCTACATGTGCATTTTGTGGAGTTGAAGTGTTATGTGATTATAAGTGACTCATTTTGGTTTGTGGTTTCCATATAAATCATACCTTCCTGCCGCCTTGCTACTATTATTTGGGTGTGATTTGGTAGGAAGATGGTGGGTTCAACCCTCAAAAACCAGGCCCACAACAAGCACCCAAAACACTCAGAAGATAGAGTCTCCTCCAAATCCACTGACCAAAACTAGCTCTACTCTCCGAAATCATTCATCAAAGGAAGAAAGCCGAGGCCAGATGCGTGGGATAGGTCGTGGGCATGCCTAGGTCACAGGTCGAGGACGAAGTGCACCCGTCACGCGGAGACGTGGGGTGGAGCATTGATTTATGTATCAGGCCAAACCGAACCTGAGAACAATTTCCATGGGAGGTTGTTGATGTTGAGAACCCACCAAAATAAATTGGCAATTTGTGCATGCATAGAACCTTGGACTACAACCTTCGTCTCCGGATCATCTAGTGAGCTAGATGATCAATTCTGCACCAAGATGATAAAGTCATGGATAGATGTACGTGTCACACGAGGCATAGTATCCTTGTTGTGTTGTCGTTGCTAGCAAGATGTAGAAATTTGATTGAATGGTAAATCTCAGAAGCTAAAAGTTCGGCGTCAGTGCCTGCTGTTCCAAATTGTTGACATTCACATCCCCCCCCCACACAACATACCTTGGAACAACGTAGAAAAATTCTCCAAATATAAACCTCTCCAGGCAATTTTGAAGCCTCGAACTAGAGAGAGCAAATGTCTGGTAAATTTTTACACTCCCCGAACCGAAAGTAGCCCTCCCTTTGGCATACATGTCAAGGGATTGTTGTGGAGTGGTGTTTCTTTCGGGATTGAAGATATGAAAAAAGCCATGAAGCTTATGCTCCGATAGAAAGTTGGCAAATGTGGGAACATTGATATCCGCCTCGGTAACTTCCACGCCGGCATGCTTTCAACTCGGAAAAAGGACATTGCTGGCCAGTAACAAAGAGGTTTTCCCGTCAAGGAAGGTTGCCTCAAAGCCAGAAATTGTCACTTTTGATGCGTCGAAACATGTAGAGTTCAGCCCTCCCTCGAAATTGTACACGATGGAAGAGCTAGGTTTCTCTGGTAGTAAAGGGGTTTCCCCAGTTGGTGTCTCGGGGCCGTTCTCATTGTTCTCTGCCGAAGCCGTCCATCAAATGAGAAAGGGAGTTTTGAACCCGGAAATGGGAAAGAAGTACGAATATTCGAGCAATCTGGCCCAGTGTCAATTGCGAGGATACGCAGCGGAGTGAGCCTAGCATCCACATTGGCCCAATTATGAGACAAGGTGTTGACAATTTTAGAAGCCGTGCCCCGCTCGTTGATAATGCACCGAAAAGCCCTGAAACCCTAGAAATTGTTTCAATTATCGCTGGAGTTAACCTTGTCACTGCTATGGACTTTGAGATTGGCCATATCAACTTCTCCATGAGCAGCGAAGAAGATTAATCGAGGGATCTTGCAGCAGCAGCAGAGAAGCAAGAGCGCGAGGCCAGAGGTGAGTTCCAGGAAGAGGAAAGTCCTGTTGTGAAATGGCACACTGATAGTTACCCCTTTTTTTGCGTGACTATGCTATCCGATTGTACGGACATGATCGGTGGTGAGACCGCCCTTAGAAATGGAAATGGCGAGGTGGTGGAAGTTCGAGGACCGCAGATGGTAGCCATTCTGTCCGTTATATTACCAATGTCCCAAGCTCACAAAGGTGCATAGGGTTCGGCTGTGATTTTGCAAGGTCGGTATATCGAGCATAAAGCGCTTCAGGCACTGGGTGTGACAGAGCGGATCACAATGGTGACATCTTTCCGTCCCCGATCATCATCTATCACGGATGACAGTGTTCTCACAATGGTCCGTCCCATTTCAATACTTGGTGACTTGTATCATCAACTCGTGGAGTATCGTTGCGAGGTCATTCAGGACCGGTTCCGCGATGCCAATCGGCTCATGTGGGACCAGAAAAGAGCAAGGCGCTCATTTGATTTGGTCAGCCTCATGGAATCACTCCGCAAACAGATCGATTTTCTAGAGCATATGGACAAGGAGATTCTTGATGATGACAAGGTCCAGAAGGGCATGCTCGACGACAGCCACCTTCGCTCAGAGGAATAGAAGTAGCAATGGCGCAAAAGGTAACCCTGCACTGCTACAGAGTAAACGTGCCGGGGAAGCTATGAATAATTTGGCTGCTGTTGGCTATATGGCTCGGACGAGCTTGTGACTAGACGATCATTGATTTTGAACGGGTTGATCGTCGATTTTGTTCTTGCGGGTCTTTCCTTCGGGCCATCAGGCCATGATTTGACGTTTTTGTTTCGACAAATGGGAGATTGGAGTTGTTTCGTTTTCATTGAAGAGGATATCAAGAGAGATAGGCCGGGTGGGCAGTTGTTCAGATGCTGGTGTGAAATGAATGTGACTCCCAAATTCTCAGACCCTAGAGACTTAAGAGCCTTCACATATTCAATTGCAAGTCTCGAAAGCCCTTGATTTGTGCTGCATGGGGCCTTCGTGAATACTCGGGTGCATGTAAACCTGAAAGTGAAACCCAGTTGATGTAAGATCTAGATACGTAAGTGAGGTTGAACTTGCTTTGATCGGCTATAGTATTGATGAAAATTGCAAGTCATTGGTTCAACTATTCTCGTCTTAGAGACCTGATAGAAGCAAAGTCCAATACAGGGCAATGTCTTTGCGTTGTAAGGGTCTGCGGAAGCTTCATTCATGCAAAAATCCCCTCAAGTGTAAAGAGGTACACAATTGCAATTGATACGCAGGTTTTCTTCATAACTATGACCTTTGAGCAAGCTCGACAAGCTCAACAAGCTCAACATTAGTGACTCTCACCAGAAGACCATTGAAAAAAGAGAGTGCCAGGTCAAAGCTCCTTGGGGCCCCCTTCCTCATGATTATGTGATTGCTTGCCTGAGGCCACCAAACATCTGCCCTCTCACTTGAAGAATCTGGACCGTATCATTGCTCTTCCGTGTGCCTTTCTCTCAATCTCAGGCTATCGCGCTATTCTCACAGCGCTCTTTGACTTCTTAGCGTTCGGCTCTGCGAAACCCTGTTGATAACTCCTTGCCATTTCGCGAAACTTTTGCTTTCCGGGACCCCCACCGCATCCTGTCGACACTTGCGCATTCGCCCGAGACGCCTCAAACACACCCGGTCGACGGGCCACGCCCTTAGGGTGGAATAACAGCTCTTGCCAAGCCCCAGAAGGTCAGTATGACAGCTAGAAGTGGTTCTGGGGCCGAAGCCTCGGGTGTAAGTTGATTCTCGCATCTGAATGGAGTGACTGAGAACTAAAGACTAACGTGCGTTATACAGCTGGTCAACACCCTCCAGGGCCATGTAGATGATATACGCACTCTGATACAGTGTGGCATATGCATCCGTCCCCTTTACGAACCGTTTACAATCGCCTGTGGGCACACTTTCTGCTACTCAGTGAGTCCCTTCCATTTAACTATACCGTAAATGCTACCAGCTGACCAGAACACCTCGCATAGTGTCTATCATCATGGTTTGCTGGTGGAAGATCAAAGCGAACATGTCCAGATTGCCGGGCACCTGTCAAAACCCAACCAGCACCAGCTTACTTGGTGAGTGTTAGCAATCTAATCTTCATTTCGGTTCATTACATCTGACATATCTCTCATTTTACAGGTTCGAGCTGTTGTACAGATGTTCACAGGCCGAGCTGAGCTTTTAGACAAAGGAGAAACAACTACAGAGCATACCAAGAACCAAAGGGACGAGGCAGAAAGGCTAGACCAGGACAAGGCCAATAATCATCCAACCGAAGGAGGTCTGTTCGGGGGTCTGTTCAAGCCCAAACCTCCCCCACTCAAACCTGTCATTGATAATGATGACGGAGTGGTTCGATGTCCGCTCTGCTCGTGGGAATTGGAAGGAGACAATTGCGCAGGATGCGGCTATCGATACCGGCCGGGCTCCGAGGACACAGACGACAGTGACTCAGCCGACTTCAGTGAGACCGACCTAGACTCGCTGGATGATAGTATTGACGAGGAAGAGGAAGAGGAGGGAGGCGAGCGAGGGGAATCTGATCACTTCGACGACATCGAAGACCATGATGGTGTTTGGGGCAACTTTGCGCTTCACTACTACGGGCACACCTTTCCTGCACGCTCTAACTGGCCCTCTGGTGCTGGCCGGCAGCTTTTCGACCGCCTTGAAAACTTGATGGATGGACCTGGCATGATCCCACTGGCGGCCCCGGCCTCAGTGGACCGTGGCAACTACTTCGCTTCGGGTAACACCAATGGGAGTGAATATGACGAAGAAGAGGACGAGGAAGATGACGAGGAGAATGAGTATGATGAGTCAGACTCATTCATCGATGCTGAAAACGACCACCCGCCCACGAGTTCCTTTATTGAAAGTGATGTCCATCATCTCGGGAGTGGCGATATGTATGAATCGGAATCAGATCGTTCCACCGGTACCGTTGTGGATGATGTTGAGAGTAGCCGCCGTCCCATGCCGACTGGGCTCAATTACAGAAACACCACACCTTACTTTGATGACGAGGCTTCTGATGAAGAGGAGGAAGAGGAAGTCTCGGGGGAATCGGACGATAGAGACATGGTTGAGGAAGATTCAGATGAATCTGACGAAGACGCAATTCGGACTGCACCGCCTCGTCAAGCTCGTCTACAACATCCACAACAGTCCCCCTGGTTCCATTCCCCCAGCAATGCTCCGTGGCTTGCTGCAAGGCCTCCAGCCGAAGTTATCACCGACTCATCTGAGGAAGAGGAATCTTCGCCGCCTGTCAGGCCTGCTAGATCTACTGCGCGCCGTTCTATTCACAACGGGACCTCTGCTCACAATGCGATCACCCTCGATGATTCCGATGAAGATCAACCTGTCGGTCCAGTGAGAAGAACTACACAGAGGCGGCGTGCCAGGTTCTCCCCATATTAAAAATCTTTCCAACTGTCGACGCGGTATTTGCTTTCTCATTTTTTCGGCCTTCTTAATGTTTTGTTTTGATTTCAGCGCGGCGCTTGGGTAATGCTAAGAGGACTGTGGACATGGTTGGCGTTTTGTCTTTGTCTTGATATCAAAAGGACGCCCTTTTTCTCTCCCACTTTTTTTTCTTCTTCTGCCTTCAACGGCTGGATCATATCCCCACGTTTGTCTCTTACCGGCTCAGCCAAACTCTACGAATACCCCTACTTATCCTTTGCCGGGTTGACCTTGATCTTTTGTTACCCTTTGCCAACCCTTTGCCAGTGAAGTCGAGAACCTTATCTCTTGGCACTTCATAAACCGTGGCCACAAAATCTGTTCTCAAATCCATGAAAAATCCCCCGGGCACTACTATATTAAGTCCCTACTTCTCGTGTTTAATCCTCTTACTAAACTAGTAGAGCGCACTGGCTCACTTTGGTGTCTTTATTGGCTAATTTTGCGTCTGTCTGGATGATTACTAAATGTACCTATATCAGTCTCGAGTCTGCTCGGAATAGACAGACGTATCTGCCGCCGATCCATCTTTAGCAAAGTAAACTGACAAGAACGGCCTGCGAATATCCCTACTTAACACATATGCGGAATCCGTAGGAATCTTTGACTATCTTGCTGTTGAAAAAAACGAACGTTGCAAAATTGGATGGAAGCAATATTAAAGTATAGTACCTATTAGCTTGTCTGACCGTTTGCCTTAATCACGGAGTGTACTTATTCTTCACGGAGAATGCAGCTTGAAATAGGGATATGATTGAATACTTCAATGCACCGAAGATACCCGGTCCATATGCAAAAATAGTTAAATACACAGATGTGACTCCAAATACACCTTACCCCGAGCAACGCTCCCCATTTTACTCGGTCAGCGACCAAGATCGAGACAAGAAGAATTTGAACAAAATTTATACATGAGCCTTCACGGTGTCATTAGTAGCAAACGGAACTTCGAAGACAACAGCACCATTGCGGCCTCCTGAAGTGGGGCCCTCATGGAAATTGTTGTTGAAGCACTTCCAGCGAGCCAATCGGTGCTCCTTGCCGACAGCGGCGACGATGGACAAACCACGAGGCTCGTGCTTGGTCTCGGACTTTTTAGATTCAGCACCAGGCAAATCGGATTCAGGGCGTCGTTCAAAGACCGCGATGTCGTTGATTACACCCTTAATCAAAGGCTCTGGCTCTTTTTGCTCAACTGCAGGGGTGGCATCCAAAGCAAGAGTCTGGTTCAGTTGCTGCGAGGGCGTGTCTAGTGATGTCACGGTACTAGGTAAGCCTACACCGATGGGACCCAAGGCAATGAGTGTCTTTTTATCTTCTGAGACGCGCCATGCGCGGATGAAACCGTCCCAGCTGCCACTGAGGACAACGTCGGTACCTGGTAAGGTAGCGAGTGCGGTGATCCAGCGCGGCATAGGGCGCATGTGGCGCGTGTTGTGGGCGGCAGTCGCCTCGTCTGTCTCGGGTGATAACACATTCAGAGGGGGGATCGGGTCCAAGCCGTGAGCAAGACGGACGGTGTAGAGTGGCTTCTTCTTGTGAACCGACCAAAGGCAGAGGGAGCCGGAATCTGAGCCAGTGACGAAGTGAGTGGGTGGAAGGGGGGCAATACAGTCGATGTTGCTCTCGTGGTAAGGGGCATTTCTTGAGGCGCCGCCACGGAACACGAGCTGTGTTTCCTCGACAACCTTCCACAGGCGGGCGGTGCGATCCCGAGCACCGACACTGACACATTCGTCGATGGTCATGGCAGCGACTCCGGTGACGTGATCCTGGTGGCCGAAAAGTGTTTCGACATAGGCGTGGCCTGCTCCGCTGATGGACCATGTCTTAATTGTGCGGTCGTACGAGCCTGAGAACAATTGTTCTCCGGAACTCATTGTTGAAATATGGCGTGCGAAAGACAAGCTGCAAACTGAGTCTCTATGGTGCAGGAAAGTCTTGCTTGGCGTCAAAGTCTCTGCGTCCCAGATGATAAGCTTATTGTCCGTTCCACCGGTGGCCACGAATTTTCCGGAAGGCGACACAGCAACAGATATGATGCTTCCTGTATGTCCTTGATCCTCGCCAGATTCACCAACTTTGCGCATACCACGAGCGTACTTCACACGCTTGGGCTTCTTGCGCTGGGGACGCTGAGGCCGCTTGGAAGTATCATTGTCGCCGTTCGATTCTGTAGAGCCTGGTACACTAGGTGTAGCCAGTTCCCACTTAGTCAAAGTCTTATCCTTGGAAACAATGTAGACAAATGGCGGGTGGACTGCAATGGCAGTGCTTGACTGGGTATCTGAGCGGAAAAAGGAATGGGGCGCCGTGGGAACGGATAGTTTTGCAGCGATTTGACGGAACGTCCGTCCTTTGAACTCATCGACGTCCTTCTTCAATCGTTCTGCAATCAAGTCTCGGTCGATATCTGCGGCATCAAATCCAGCTTCATCGACTTCCTCCTGAATGTTACTCAGGTAGCGTTCAGCAAGTTTCAATCTTCGATCCGCCGCGGTTTCGCCATCTTCGGAGTCCGATCCACTTTCGTCGCCTGACTCTGCCGTATCGATTGCAGCATCTTCATCTAAGTCGCTGCCCGAGATCGATTCTTCTCTCTCTCTGGTGCGTCGACCACCGTCAGTTTTGGCATCTACGCCTCGCTTTTTCGATCCTGGGGCTCCGACGCGGTCGTCTCTCTTCCTCTTGCGCTGGGAATTTGGTACAGTGAAAAAGGACGACATGGCGACTTTTTTTTCAAGCCTATCGTTTCTTGATCTCTGTATAAAGAAATCGAATGTATAGCGTTCTGAAGAGACTCGAACTGCGGAGATCAAAACTTCAACTTTTTTTTGGCAGAAAAAAAAGCGCTAAGCGGCGGCTGACTCAGCAGGTAGCTGACCTCACGGGAGCTCCAGGCGTCAAGCTCACCGCGCGGTCCTCCTCACTTAACCACTACTCCCCTTCGTCTTCTCTGATCAACTACTTGCTTGTAATCTTTGTTTATTTATCTCCCATACCGCAGACATGTCAGTTCTTGGTAATTTCTTTTCTACAAATAGTTACTAACAATTTGTTAGGGAGGTTCTTTTGGGTATCGCCGGCAAGGACTTTGTCATTCTTGCTGCATCCAAGGCCGCAATGAGAGGCCCGACAGTTCTCAAGGCCGAAGATGATAAGACACGACAGTTGAACAAGCACACATTGATGGCCTTCTCTGGCGAGTCTGGAGATACTGGTATGTAGCTTTTCCGATGAGATAAACAAGATGCTAATAAGATACCTATGCTAGTTCAATTTGCCGAATACATCCAAGCCAACGCTACACTCTACAGTATGCGAAACGACACCGAACTCAGCCCCTCCGCCGTCGCGAATTTCGTCCGAGGAGAATTGGCAAGCAGCTTGCGGTCACGCAGTCCTTACACAGTAAACCTGCTTCTAGGTGGTATAGATCCGGTCACTGAGAAGCCTCACCTGTACTGGATTGATTATCTAGCGTCGCTGGCGCCCCTACCATATGCTGCCCACGGCTATGCCCAGTATGTTTCGAGGCCCATGATGAACAACACGATAATCCAGGCGAGAGATAACTGATGTTGACTCTGCTAGATACTACTGCCTCGCCATCCTTGACAAACACCACCACCCTGACTGCTCCCTTGAGGAGGGCCTTGCGCTCCTCACCCTGTGCACAGACGAGCTGAAGCGCAGACTACCAATTGACTACAAAGGCGTAAGTTCTTCAGGAGGCCATGTTTTTAATGCCATTATACTGACCAAATTATCTATAGATGCTGGTGAAGGTCGTGACAAAGGATGGCGTGCAAGAAATCCCTGTGGATAACGATAAGGTGGTCAGGAGTGCTTGAAAGTCGACACACCACGGCGTTTGTTGTATCACATCTTATGACGTTTTTCTTTGATTCCGAGATAATCGAACAGTCGGCATGATTTAGGCTGTAGCAACCTTGGAAGTTAAGTAAGGAGTAGATTCCAAGATATTTTGAATGAATAATAGGCAAATCCAGCCCGATAGGCTCACTTGAAATGAACAGCATTGACGGAGTAGTTTTGTCTAGAACGTACTCCGCTTGGCACTGGCCTGACCATGGCTGTTTGACTTGTTTGCAACAAAGTCGCATCCTGAGCTCTGGGAAAGTTGAGAACTCCGGGACCACCAACTTTTCGATTCAAACCATCTATCACAATGTCGAAAAGACACGCAGAGCTTCCCTTGGAGCAAAACTTCTCCGGCTCACCTGTATCGAAAAAGGCGCGCGTTGAGGACGACAATGACCCCGATTCTCGCAATGGCGCAGCGCCCGCATACCCAACGAGCGGCGAAGAGCTGAGACAGGATCGCAATGGTGTGGATATTCAAGGAGCGGCTGAGATAGAAGGAGAGGAGCTCGAGGAGGCTGAAAAAGATCCCTCTGGATTCTCGGATATTGACGAAGATGTCACTGCACTCAGCGCTCCGAAGCGGCAAAGCGCTCCTATGGAAGGCTACGGCGACCTATACCTCGACACAATCAACCGCGAAATCTTGGATTTCGATTTCGAGAAGCTGTGCTCCATCAGTCTGTCAAACATCAACGTGTACGCATGTCTCGTCTGTGGCAAATACTTCCAAGGTCGTGGTCCGAAATCGCATGCATACTTTCACGCCCTTGAAGTTGGACACCACGTCTTCATCAACATTGGCACGAAAAAGGTCTACGTTTTGCCTGAAGGATACGAGGTCAATAACAAGAGTTTGGAGGATATCAAATATGTGGTTGATCCACACTACACAAAAAACCAAGTGATCAAGCTCGACAAAGAAGTACATGATGCCTGGGACCTTTCTGGGTCGAGGTACAGACCAGGTAAGAGCCCGTATCATGGCAAGATCGTAGAGTTTTTGGCTAATAGTTTTCCCATCCAGGGTTTGTTGGTATGAACAACATCAAAGCCAACGACTACGTCAATGTAGTAGCTCAACTACTGGCACACGTTTTGCCAATTCGCAATTTCTTCCTTCTACACGAGTTCCCTACGCCCGGAACACCAGAGATAATCCTTCGTTTCAGTACGCTGGTGCGCAAGCTATGGAACCCTAAGGCGTTCCGGTCACACGTGTCTCCGCACGAGTTACTACAGGAGATTGCCTTGCGATCCTCGAAACGTTTCACTCTCACGAACCAGGCAGATCCCGTGGACTTCTTGTCTTGGTTCCTAAACTGCCTTCACCTCGCCTTAGGAGGGTCCAAGAAGCCCTCGTCAACACCCACAAGCGTTGTTCACGCAGCGTTTCAGGGCCGTGTACGGATTGAAAGCCAAGCTATCACCGCTCACTCCGACACCCAAAATGCCCGTTTGGTATTTACCGAATCTGGCACTATTAATAGCCAGGTCACTCCTTTCCTCATCCTCACATTGGATCTACCCCCCACACCCCTCTTCCAATCTGCCAATCGAGAGTCGAGTATCCCACAGGTTCCTTTGACTACCCTGTTGAACAAGTATAACGGCTACACGGCTTCAGAGAAACTGGCCCACCGTGTCCGACACCGTCTCCTCCACCCTCTTCCTCCCTACCTTTTCTTCCATATTAAGCGCTTTAGTAAGAACCGCTTTGTTTCTGAGCGAAACCCAACCATCGTCACCTTCCCTTCTCCGCACAACTTGGATATGTCCCCCTATGTCGAGCCAAATCCCAATATTTGCTCACCGGGTGAACCAATCCTCTACGATTTAGTCGCAAACATCATCCTCGACCCCGCCATCGCTGCACCCGGTGCGATGGATGAAGCTGTGGATAAGGGCGTTAATGCTGCGTCAGGATCCGGCGGTTCCTCCAGCGGAGCAGGTGGCGGCAGTGAGAAGGTATCATGGCTTGTCCAACTTCACGATAAAGCTATGGAAGCCGAGAACACTCGGGCCAAAAATGGCGGCTCCACAGAGAAGCAGATGCAGGGCCCGGAGTGGCTTGAGATTCAGGATTTATTTGTTAAGCGCGCGGAAAGCGAGACACTATTCACTCGTGAGGGATATCTTATGGTCTGGGAGCGGCGCAAAGTGCCTGGAAACAAAGGGAAGGGCCGTGCATGATCTAAGATGGTTACAGAAGAGTTGATCTGGGCTTCAAACTTCACTGTTTTCTTCTATGTTCTTACATAGTATCTTTGAGAGTAAATGCATTGTACATCGAATAATGACGAACTCATGCTTTTGTTCGATATCTTCCACTTTACAGTCAAATAGTCGCAAACGCTGCAGGAAAAAAAAGAAGAAAGATAACTTCTTCCATGTCTTGTGGCCTGGCTGCTAGGATCGATGAAAAGCATATCGCCGCTTCTATGGATAACAGTAACACTAAAACAAAATGTGTAATCGTGAATCCGATCAGGTTTTCTGCACTTTGTTTTCCTTTTTTCAAGCGTGGCCGAGTGGTCAAGGTATTAATTTGTGCTGACAGACTAAGATTAGCAACAGGCGCTATCCTATCATCCGAAGTGGAATGGGAAAATAAACCCCAATCTCCAACTCTTATAGAGGTACTTTCAAAGGTCATTTAGGACCAAATAGTTGATTTGACAGGTTACGTATGTGCAAGGCCTGAACTACCTAGCAACCTAAGTGTGAGCACCATTCCTGAGATTAAACAGCACTTCCTGACTGAAATTCAATCTGAGATAGCAAGCTCGTCTCGGTTTGAGAGGGATGTTCAGACCCGACAATTTTTTAAAATGAGAGAAACTGTCTGTCAGGCCTCTACTGAGTGTGGAAGATGGAAGAGAGGAGGTATATCAAGATCTTGAAATGGCTCTGGCTTTGATTATAGCACGAAAGGAGGGCCCGTAAGAAAACACCTTTTCGAATTGCACATCGACTTACTCCGCTTGTGACTATGAAACCATTGAGACTACAGAGCAAATTAAGGGAATCTGTTAGACCTAAGTATTGAGACGGCTAAAAGCGAACAAGGATTCATCACAAGGCTCCCCAGCCGCAGAACTTCCTCCCTATCCTCATCGTCGAACCTACTAGGAAACCCCAAATCCCCGCTCTCATCGCAACTTGCATTCCTCTCATGAGCACGAGTCGGTAGGAGTAGTCCCGTATGTCTGGCCAAGTACTTCCGCCATACCAAAGACCCAACGGGTGGACATCTGAGAGATGCGTAACGGAGGATGGGTGTGAGATAATCCAAGATCGGGCCAATGAGCGAAGGTAGAGTGCTTCAAGCGGCGCGAGTATGAGGCCGCTGATTGCAGCAGCGAGATGAGATGCGAGGGAGTCCACTGGGTATGCTGAAAGAAGGGTGACGCGGTGGACTTGCGACAATGTACTTGCCAGTTGGCCAGGAACTAGAGAAGAAGGTAGAATTGGCTGAGCGAGGGTGTCGGATTGGGTGTCTTCATTATGATCTGCGACAGGGTGGGTTTCATTAGAGGGCTCTTCGTCATCGGGTTCTTCCACGCCGTCTGGGAGAATGTTTGGAACGATAGACCCTAGTGCTTCCTCGATTGACTCTGAAGTTGGAGTGTCGGTGGCTTGAGTTTCTGGGGCCGGGATTTGAGGGGCCAAGTCAGGGGCACCCAAGTCTTGAGGGGGGGTGTTGGATGGTCTTGCAGTGATACTTGAGGGGCCATCCATATCTGCCGCCGCCGGGGGCTGCTGGGCTTGGAACTGAGCCTGACTTAAGATAAGAGCCTCGAGAAACTCGGCTATGGATCGTCTGCCCATGGCCGCTTGGTTTCTATTATATCCTGACAAACGGTTGCTCACTAGTGCATTCAGCTGAGCGGGATTTGAAGCTTGTATCTGTGGTTGACGGTTCCGATGGCCCATCAACTCAAGTTGCATCGTAATGACGTCGGAGCTTTGATGTATCAAGGATGCTCTTACGCGAGGCGACGTAGGAGGTGATGTTTCTGGTGATGATGAGCGAGAAAAGAGAGTATTAGATCGCGAGCTCTGTCTGTCCGTAGCAAAATCTTCACCATTTTGTAACGGGGCTGTTTGGTCCTGCGGGGTCGAAGTGGCCGAGAGGCGACTTGTTCGTCCAGCAGTGGCTATCTCGGAAAAATAGTCACTGCTCATTTCCCCAGGCGATTGAGACATGCGATTTTCATTTGTAAGCACTTGATTCATCCCAATAACTGATTCTGCCTGAGTCAAATGCGTGGGTCGGCTTGCATCCTCTGGTCGTGCTCGGGATGCAAGAGCGGCAACCTGGGAATCAGGAGTAATCCCCGGAGGCCTAGGCACGGGATCATTTTGTCCTTCTTCGGCAACAAGGTTGCCTTGGACTCCGTCAAGTTCATTTTGCAACGACTCAATGGAATTACGTAGATTTTGAAGCCTCTCGTCCCAGAGAGACTGGAGAGCTTGCTTCTCTGACAGTTGGTTCGATCTTAGTCCAAAAAGGGATGATACCCATCTCCGAAAAGTGGCCAGTTCGAACTTGATGTCTTCGAATAGGGTGAGCTTGCTGCGGTATAATTCTTCATCAGATCTGCGGCCCAGGGTGGGCACCACCCACTCTATCAGGTTTTCTTCGAAGGCAACGCGGACTGAGAGTTCATCAGGGAGGGCTGGCTTTGGAAGATGTCTTCTGATTAACCGGTAGATACGCTCCTCAAGCTCTGGTCGTAAGTAGTAGCCATAGAGAAACACTAAAACACCAGGGGAGATTAACAGATCCACAAGAGAATTCCCCAGGGAGTGAGGGGAGAAATCAGCGGGCAAGGGTGGCAGTTGTAGCAAAGATTCCCTGCGGAAGGGAAGTAAAAGCTGCACGCCGGGGATTCCATATGGAGACGCAAGGGAAAGAGATTGGAGTGTGGAGTACATGTAGAACTCCATAGACAACATGAGCACAGCATTTCTCGCCCTTTGTTCATGATTAGTTGTCTTGTCTATGTTAACGGACGAAGGATGTGCTCACCCTGTGTATAAAAGCCCGAAAAGAGAACGAACTCCAAGTGAGTCGCCCGTCAAAGACTGAACGTAGTCCCGGAAAGAGACGAGCACCCGTTTCAGCGGGGTTTCACGAGCTATAGCCAATCCACTGGAAATTGCCCAGGCAGGAATTCCCGAAAAACAGAAGCTAAGGATCCCTGCAGTGTCTCTTTCAGACTGTATGGCACTGAGTAATGCAGAATGGGCGTACTGCCGGTAAGTCTAAACATCAACATTCGAGCGTCAGCCCATTCGACATCAAGAGTAGTCTGTGGTGCATTTACCTGAACTCGACCGGTGACTGAAGATGTCCACCAGGTACCAAAGAAAATGAAAATTTGGTCGAGAGTTGTGATGACTAGTCCGAAGTCATTTTCACTCGCAATTTGGTTGATCCTTTGCTGCTCATTGGGGATACTAGAATTGCGGTCTTCTCCACTCACGACAATCCCCATTGTTGAAAGGATGTCATTCTTTGCTCTCCGGAGTTCTTTCCCAAAGGTTCTGGACTCGGGATTAACAGGGTGTCCTCGAGAATCATATTGCTGCGTATAGTTGTCTGCATGGACGTTGGAAACCCGTCGGACTGGAGTAGAAGGGTCAACTGCCGCATTGTCGGGAGCTTCGTAAGGGGACCGGCCCTTGAAATCAGTCAATATGATATACTATCAGGTTTATAACTACGCTCGATTAAGCATGTAGGGCAAGACGCGTTTGGGATGGGTTTGTATATCAGGATAGAAATGATGAAACAGAGCCAGGTGGTGACTGGTGACTGGTTCGGTTTCAGAAGACTTTAGGCCTCTCGAGATAAATCATAATCATCTGTCACCATCCATGACCCAAAGTTTCCAATAGCAAGTATAGGGGGTACGCGCGTAAAAAGGTGAAGCTTACCAAAGCGAGCCGGTTCAAATAAGCCTGTCGACCCATATCGTGCAAGATCACTGCGCCAGTAGCGTAGCTACATCGCCTTCTAGTTTGCCATCGGTACAAAACCCGCGGAACCCTGTGGATTCAAAATAGCAAGCGATGAAGCATGATCAGACGATTGCCCAGCGGTTGAAAGTACACATGTGGCTATTTATGCGGCTACACTTGGCCTGAGGCACGAGCCATATCTTATCACCAAACAAACAGTGCAAACATCAAAAAAAGTTGCCCGCTCGAGCTGCCGTTTTTTGCGATCATTCAATCTCTACGGCTCTTTGACTGGCCAATGGCGTGCTAGTCTTTACTTACTTACGCCGAGATATTATAGAGTCATGTCGAAAGCTATTGTCAAAACAACTTTCGAGGCGTCCCGCACGCTCCGCCCCATTTACACCGGAGGTAGCACGGCGCTTGATGCCAGTGGGCGCATCCTGCTGAGCTGCGTGGGCGAGGATGCCTTGATCGTTGATTTGGAGACTGGTAACCAGCTTACTAGCCTGGAGGGGGTACGTTTTGTCGCCTTGGGTATCTTCGCCAATTGCAAAACACTAACCACATGAACGCTGCAGGATGGAGAAATTGTCACAGGTCTGGCTAGTGAGTATTGTAAGCCCTAGGGGTGAGAATAAAACGCTGACAATTTGCTTAGTTACGCCTTCCGCCTCACACGCCATTGTCTGCTCGCGCTCGATGTCCATGCGAATCTACGGCCTCTCAACTTTCGACGAAGCTTCTCAGACCATTGAAGCAAAACTTCTCCGAACCCTTAAGCCCCACACAGCTCCCGTTGTGACCATTGCTGTTGACCCTACTGGAACACTGCTTGCCACTGGCGGTGCCGATGGTTCAATCAAGGTCTGGGATATCAGAGGCGGATTTGTCACTCACACTTTCCATGGTCATGGTGGTGTCGTTTCTGCACTTTGCTTTTTCGAGGTTCCTGCTGCCGACAGCAATGCCAAGTCATCTAAGAAGAACCAGTCTAAGCAACAGGCTGCGGAGGATGACGATGAGGATACGGAGAGCTCTGCCCGTACGGTTTCCACCGCAGGATTCCGCCTAGCATCTGGCAGTGAAGATGGCAAAATGCGCGTATGGGATCTGCACAAGAGAAAGTCCATTGCATCGCTCGAGTCACATGTTTCCCTTGTCCGCAGTCTGTCTTTTTCCTCGTCAGAGAACGCATTGGTCTCGGCCAGTCGAGACAAAACCGTCATCGTCTGGGATGCGCGTACTTGGAAGACTCGCAGAATCATACCTGTTTTGGAGAGTGTGGAAGCCGCGGCTTTTATTGCAGATAGTGGACTGTGCGTAATCGGTGGAGAAAATGGCAAGCTCCGAGTTTGGGACTGCAATCGTGGAAGCGAGATCACAGAGGAACAAGAGGCTGGAGAAGAGTTTGAAAGTGTTGTAGCTATCCAGTATACGCCTGGTCTGCCTTTCGTCCTCACCGTCCATGCGGATCAGACTCTCCGCCTCCACTCGCTCGAGTCGCTGTCTGATTATAAGCCTGGGTCAACTTTGGAGCCTTTGGCCATCATCCGCCGCATTTCCGGCAATGACGACGAGATCATTGATCTGGCTTACATTGGGCCTGATAGATCGATGCTTGCATTGGCCACCAACACAGAGAGTATTCGTGTGGTTTCGGTTGCTCCCTCGGAAGATCGACCCTCAACTCAGGGAGAGGAGTACTTTGGTGCTGATGTCACACATCTTGAAGGCCACGACGATATTATCATTTGCATTGATGCAGATTGGTCGGGACACTGGTTAGCAACTGGTGCTAAAGACAACACAGCCCGTCTTTGGCGTATTGACCCAAAGACGTCCTCTTACACCTGCTTTGCTATTTTCACTGGCCATGCCGAGTCATTGGGAGCAATCGCCCTTCCGCGCGTGCCACCGCCCGTTGGTAGTGCCGCATATAACGACCCTTTGAACCACCCGCCAGCCTTTTTAATAACTGGTTCGCAAGATCGCACAATCAAGCGATGGGACACAAGCAAGTTGGCGCCCCTGACAGGAGAAAAGCCACACTATCCTAAGGCTATCTATACCCGCAAGGCTCACGAAAAAGATATCAATGCCATTGATGTTGATTCTACATCTGAATTATTTGCCTCAGCATCACAAGATCGCACTGTGAAGATCTGGGCCGCCGACGAAGGCTCGTCAGTAGGTGTCCTCCGTGGCCACAAGCGAGGTGTTTGGTCGGTGCGATTCGCGCCACAAGGCACACCGATTATCAACTCTGATTCACGTACCAGCACGAGCCGTGGTCTAGCAGTCACAGGCTCTGGTGACAAGACCGTCAAACTGTGGAGTCTATCTGACTACAGCTGTCTCTTGACTTTCGAGGGCCACACCAATAGTGTTCTCAAAGTTCTCTGGCTCCCGCCTCCGCAGGTCTCGAACAATCAAACTGACGACGAGGAGGATGACGAGGAGGCCGCATCAGCACGCAAAAACGTCATCCAGGACCGTCCCCTCATCGCCTCCGCTGCCGCAGACGGTCTGGTCAAGATCTGGTCCCCCTACACAGGCGAGCTCGAAACCACCCTGGACAACCACATCGACCGAGTCTGGGCTCTTGCCAGCCCAACCCCATCCGGCTCACGTGCAGACGTGAAACCAACCTCCTCCAAGCTCAACACCACTCCCTACGCCATTGCCTCTGGTTCTGCCGACGCAACAGTGACCTTCTGGACCGATACGACATCATCCACCTACACAGCCGCGGTCAACGCCAGCTCTGCTCGCGTCGAACAGGACCAAGAGCTGCAGAACTACATCCGCGCCGGTGCCTACCGTGAAGCCATCACTCTAGCATTGCAACTCAACCACCCGGGTAGACTGCTCTCGCTCTTCACCTCCGCCATCAATGCCGCAGACGACCCAACAGCTCCGGCCGAGGACCGTGAGCGTGCTGCAGCCAGTCTGTCCGGTAATCCGTCCATTGACGAAGTCCTGCAGAACTTGGACCCTGCTAATCTTCGTACGCTCCTGCTCCGTCTCCGGGACTGGAACACTAATGCGCGCACCTCGCGCGTCTCACAGCGCATCCTGCATGCTCTGTTCCGCTCTTATCCCGCGTCTACTTTCGTGGAGCTTGCGACTCAGTCCGTCCGCGGAAAGGATGGTCGTGCCGCGGCTGGTCTGAAGGACATTCTCCAGGCACTAGCTGCATACACTGAGAGACATTACAAGCGCGTTGAGGAGTTAGTCGATGACAGCTACCTGGTTGAGTGGGTTCTCGGTGAGATGGATGGTGGTGTTGGACTTGGTGGACTGCGGGATTTGACTGTGGGCAATGTCAGTGACGAGGAGCAGCATGAGAAGGACGTTATCATGTTGGAAGCATAGTCTGGCTTTGGTCTTTTGCCTTGTTTGTACATTGAATTTGGCGCTTTCGTTCTTGGAGTACTATGGGTGGGAAGGATAAAAGCCATCTCTTTATAGAATTGAACAATGTATCATGGAAATTGTTCTTTGGCCCAAGCCATCTATTTTTGATTGTTCAGGGTATCTCATTTTGGTTGATTCTCGTGGTAAAGTAATTAAAAGAGGGGGGGGGGGAGTATGTACTCCATAGATGCACTAATTTGTCCTGTACAGACACCCCAATGTCCTTCAACCCCCTAAGCCAGAGCATCTAGCCTCTAATTATCGCGACGACTCCGACGGGAGTCACGATCACGATCTCGGTCATTCCGAGATGAGTGAGACGAGTGCCGTGAGCTGCTGTATCTATCATCTCGAGACCGATGGCTGCGGTCCCTGTCCCGCTCTCGATCTCTTCTTCGATCGTCCTTGTCATCATCACGGTCCCGGCGACGATCCCGGTCGTGGTCTCGATCTCGATAGGAACGGTCGTCCCGTCTGATTTTCTCATCATCATCATCATCATCATCATGTCGAGAGGAACGACTAGAAAATTGGCGGCCACTAGACCGACTGCGGTTACGGTCATGTCGCGAGGACCCAGTCTTCCGACGAGAACGATCCTCCTCCTCATCGTAATCTCGTTTGCGATATTCCCGGTCTCGATCCTTGTCCCGGCCACTCTTCTCAAGGTTACGATCCCGTCGCTCGCGCCAGTCGTCATCCGTGGGAGGTTTGGACTTGGCCTCTTTTTTTAGAGCAGCGAGTTCATCTTCGGTGAGTTGCTCGCCGGTTTTCTTATTCCGCATCGTGATAGGCATGTACACACCCTCAGCCTTGTCGTTCTCCTCCCCCTGTTTCCTCGACGCCTTGCGCATAGCCGCTTTTCCCCAGGCTCCGAGTTCGATTTCAGCTCCCTTGCCGCCAGATGAATCCTTTGCGCCAATGCCGAGGAACCCAGGTCGTCGTTCTGGAACACGAGGGGTTTTCGCTCTCTCTGCAGCTGTGGCACTACTGTATTTGCCTCGTCCAATAGATTGACCATCCTTCCAACCCATGCCTCGTAGCAACGCGGCACCGAATTCCTCAACGGGAATGGCATTGTAAGCGTCCAAAGTAGCAGGCTCAGGCCGGGATGCGACATCTGTACGGAAAGATCCGAGCTCGCTGTAGTGGACTGACTCTGCCTCCTTTGTAGCAGACTCAATAATAAGGTCTGACCTCCGTTCCACGTCGCCGGTAGTTTCCCGAATCAGCGCCTGCATGGCAATCTCGTCGTCGGTAAGGGGCTTGGTCTCAACAGGTTTCGCATCAGGCATGGCCTGGTCTTGATCCACTGCTGCGCCACCATCCGCCATTTCTGCAGACTGCCGTGCAAAGCTCAGCCCGTACGCCATGCTGGGCGTATCTGTCTCTACTGTAGGCTCTCCGGGAGGTGCTTGTCCGTTCTTTTGCGCTTCCTGCATAGCCTGCACTTCACTAGGAAGCAGGTTCTTCTTGCTTTTTTTCATACCCGGTCGGTCGCGCCAGTTGTTCTGGCTCGTGACGGGGATGATCAGTGGCTTGTTTGCGTCCGCGACTGCTTGTCCGTCCGCGGTAATGGCGCCACCTGTGTGGGTGTCGAACCCTAAGATTTCCTCGTGAACCGGAGGGGCCTCATCTTCGTCGGAGTCATCGGTGTAACCGAGCTGGTGAGGTCGCCGTGGTAGTGACCGGCCGTTTGCTGGGGAAATTGCAGAATGGCCGCGATTTGAGGATTGGAGGTTGAAACCGGTCTTTTTCGGAGGACCATTTGAACTAGATAAAGAGATAGAGATTGGTTTGGACGGCGGTTTCCCGCCCTCGGTATGGTCGCGTGAAGCCATCGCGATGATTTCTTAGTTTGAAGCGACTGAACTGCTGAAGGAAGAGAGAGCTCGAGACGCAATCGATAGTTGAGAGCTTCTGGGCGGTGGCAAAACTGGAAGCGCGCGGTTAAATCGACAGATTTTCTATGGCGGTAATTTAACCTACATGCTCTATACATCTGACTCACGAATATTTATTGTGTAGGTCTTCATTGGAAGTTTGAATCAGGCTATAATCCGATAGGGCCCCCCCC